ACATTTTTTTATTATTTTATTTTTGCAACATTTATAAATCTATAAATTTACATTAAATTATGATTTATTTCATAAAATGTTTCACTTTACATTATTTACTTACAAACTTAACTATAACTTAACCATTAGTAGTAACTTCGTGCTAAGTCTAGTACATATGTTATGATAATATTTTGTACAATGATATTCTGTTTCGATAATTAAGTGTAAATGTCGGGTTCCAATTTCAGTTTCAAGATAACCATCTAATTCAAGATAGTTCGTAGGATAAATGTGTGCCCTTTATAATGACGTTTTATATCACACATCATAAAACATTTTAATTACATGTTGATGTCTTTTAAATAAATTCGAATTTTTTTATAACTGAAATATATAAAGAACACAAAAGATTTAACAAAATATACAAAACAGTTTTCGAACAAATTACTGTACCCTCGGAAAGATGAAAAGTTAATTACTGTGAGTTATTGAGCCTTTCCTATACTACGTTCATGGAAAACTGGCACAAAGTGTAAACAAAACGTTCATATGATCGGTGACGCGGTTGCAGCTGAGTGGCTGTTATATAGCGATGCTCAGGGACGAATTTTAGAGGATCCTCACCGAGGGCCCTTGCATGCAGGATAGCCAGGAAAAGCGATCTAATTACTGTGCTCGAATCACTGTGATCAGTTCTAGGTAAATAATCCTCTGACAAAAATGTAAAACTGTGAAATGTCTCGTACTAAATTATTTAGCATAATTTATTACACACATACATTGCAATATTTACAATATTATTAAAAGAAAGGAAAGAATATACATGTGTTACAACCAAGAAAGTAAGGTAAGATGTAACGCAATTTTAGCATCATTTTTATATTTTTGTCATCTTTCTTTGCAACGTGTTTCTCAAGTCTTTCAACAAGATCAAGGCAACAACAAATCAAACTATTATGAGAAATGTAAAAGACTAGTTTCCACATTTTACAGATCTTAACGCTAGATTTACGGAATCAGTCAAAATGACGGGTCACTAATTGTTTAATTTGTTTGTTTTAACTTGTTAAAAATCAGAATAAATGTCTTATTGTTAGTTTTATAAACTAATATAAAACAGCTGTTTCTTGTGTTCCGTAAATCTAGTGTTAATATGTTGAAGTTCTGGTTTGGTTATGAAAATTACAGATCGAATTTTATTTAAAAAACACAATGTTTTGTAGTTTTTAAGTATAAGTGAAATTAGTGTAAGGGCACAGTGTAACCAGGGGAAGTAGAGTAAGATACCCTATCTTGATTACTAATTATCGGTCGGTTTCGTATTATCTGATTCGATAACATAAGCCGGCGGGAGATGTTTACATGTAACCACACGCGAATCATCGTTTTTGTTTTCGTCCTCTTGTACGGAATCGTCGGCTACCGCGTCAACTGCTTTACCATTTCTCATAGGATTGTTGGTGGCGAGGCGAACAGAGTCTGTCCCCTCAGAATTAATGGTTCCCGAAACGACTGAGTCCCTCGGTAAATTAATCACGATATTAGGCTGCATCAGAAATATCGAATCTGTATTAATTAAATTCTAACTTCCATAATTAATGCAATTGTGCAAAACACATCAATTATTTATCTTAGTCATAATTGAGAAACCTTCTTATATATGCCCATAATTATGAAAGTGGTCTAAGTCAAAATTTAAAAAAAATTGAATTTATCACTTATTTCACACGACATGATTTTAAACTAAATCTATTCAATGTAATTTTTACGATATCGTCAAAAATGAACCTTTAGATAGTAGTTGTAATTACAACGTTATACGGAATTCATTTAGTGTTAATTATGAAAGTGGTCTAAGTCAACAATTTAAAGAAATTATATAAACATAACTTGAAAATACCGCGTGGAGGATATCTTAGCTTCTCAAAAACACGTAATAGCCTACAGTGATGCTTGTTCAGGCCAAAATCGCAACATTAAAGTAGCATTGACATGGCTGAAAATTTTGCCCAGTCATCGAATAATAATATTGAAACGATAGACCACACACAAATTTTTGGTATCGGGTCATTTCTTTCTACCGAATGACCGTGATTTTGGTTTGATAGAGATGAAAATAAAAAAAGCAAATTACTTATACAATCCTGAACATTACTATGAATTGATCGAAAATTGTAGAAAAAGAAATACATTTTCGATCAAACGAATGTCGCAGCCGGATTTTATTTCAACGAAATCACTTGAAAAATCAATAACAAGGAGAGTAAAAAATACCGCGGGCGAATCTGTCTCTTGGCTAAAAATTCAATGGATGAGATTCTTGAAAAATGAACCTTATAAAATGTTTTATAAGACTTCTTTAGATGATTCTGAATTCCAAGTTTTGGATCTTTCACCTAAAAGAGGAAGACCAAAAATATACGAAAATATTCAATTACTTCCATTATACAACACCACTAGACCAGTAACGGAAGAAAAACATAAAGATCTTATGTGTTTACTACCATACATCCCTCCAGTTTTTCAGGAACATTTTAAAAATCTTAAAAACTCGAAATTGTGATAAAAATGGATTACTTTTTAAAAATGATTAATAAATGTTTATGAATTATTTCGTTAAAGTTGTTGTTTCAAATGGACCGTTTATTTTGAAAGTGGAATAAGTTCTTTTTTTTAAAGAAATTCAAAATGCCGAATCTGAGCTTGTATTGTCTAAATACCCCACGCAACGCCACTTACAATTTCTTTCGATGACATTGAACTTACACCACTTTCAAAATAAACGGCTCAAATAAAAATCACAATTTTTTATTACTTTAAGTCAATTATAGGACATTCTTGAAAAATAATATATATATAGGACATTCAGTTAATTTTGAAAATGGTCTAAGTCAATTCAAGCTTTAAAAACAACATTTTCCTATGAAATTCACACAAAATTTCATATCTATAATAAATTTCCATTAATCAAGACTAATAAAATTATAAATTAAAATGTCGCATAATATAAAAATATTTTTTAATTTATTCAAATGCGATTCATTAAATATCTCGAAACACACAAGAAATATATGACTTAGACCACTTTCATAATTATGGGCACATATGATCGCCAATTACTTAATTTCTAACTAGACCGTGTATGTTTACGAAAATTGATATAAGGAAAACATTTCTTTGAACAATTAAAACGTTCCCTTCGATAAGAACGACTGGGAAATGTTAATACTTTTCACTGATGTACAGTGGCCCACAAAAGTGTTCGTACACCTTTTAAAACGCGTTAACTTTTTCAAAACTAAACTAAATGACCCACTCTACCAATCTGGAACCTCATACCGAAATCTGGCAACCAGGGTTACAAGCACCATTGCTGTGCGTTACTTCGAATCTCACGTGACACCACTGGTGACGTCACGGATGGAGTCACGTGATATTTGAGGGAATGCACGGTAACGGTGGTTAGAACTTACAAATTTAATTGTATAATACCTGTAAATGCAGAACATTCTCTAATCCCATAGTGGCTGCTCTTGGCCTGCTCGAATGATTCGGGAGAAGAAGATGCTGGTTATTGTTTGGTACCTGATACAGGGAGCCTCTCGATCTTCTTGGTAATTCTGCTGGCAGCACTCTTCGTCTCTGCTTCGGCAATTTGCTGCGAGCCTATGGACAAACAATTTGAAATCAACGACAGATCTTCGACAAACGTAAATTTGTTGATAAATTTTTATGCGAAATATTGGGACAGACGACGAGACGAATCCTTAATGGAAGAACTAAAGAGGAAAACAAAATAAATGGGAAGAGGAAAAACGATAAGTAAAAACATATAAGAAAGAACGAGTAAAATAGAGGGAAGAGTAGCGCTGAAAGATGGAACAACAGTGAAACAGTGAGAGGAAAACAAGTAGAGCAAGTGGCATGAAAACTAGAGTGAATAAATTTTTACTCGTGCACTAGCTTTGGTAAATTATGTATTTGCTTATTAGAAAAGTTCGTTTCAAACAAACAAACTATAAATTCAAATTGTTTTCAAACAAACTATACAAGGTGTCCAGAAAGGTTGGGACCAAACTTATAGTATGTGTTTCTGGGGTAAAATAGATGAAAACTGTTCAAATCAATTTGTGTTTGGAAATGCTTTATTGAATAGATATAAGCGTTTACAAAATGAACTTAGTATTATTTCCAATAGAGATGTTACATTTGATAGGAATTTTCGAACATTTCTTATAACTGCCACAATAAATCATAAATAACTTTAAAAGCTTATATCTTTCAATGAAACATTTTCGGATATTAGTTTATATGAACTTTTTTCGTCTATTTGACCTCGGGTCCAATATTAGGTTGTTCAGAATTCAGAATTCAGAATTGTTCAGATTTGGAATCAACTTTCTGGATGGTGTTCAACAAGGTGTAACTGGGCTCCGTCCGCTGATTAGTTCGGCCGTGTGGCGCCAGCTTATCTCGACTCTCATTGGTCATTGTTTTTCGTTAATTACTCGTAAGCAAAGCCGTGGATTGCATTTGCGCTAAGGAGAAAGTTACTTCAAATGACCTCAGGAACCCCTTATTTCCCGATTTTGAGTAACTTTTTGGGCACACTATAGATTACATTTTAAGAGATATTTTGACTTACGAAATTTGACTTACGGCATTATGATACTAATCTAGTCGAATGTACCACCAACTGTGAATTGGACTCAACGTTTTTTGAATTGCAATATTAAATTATACTAAATTTAAAATTTAACGAACCTAATGCACTTCGAAGAGAAATTAATTATACAAGATATGCTTTTGGGGATCATTTAATTTTTTACTTTGACGTCTAGTGTATATTAATACTATTAAAAGTTTGACATCGGTACCATGGTAGCAGAACTATGCCAAAAGTCGATACACAGTAATTTTTCTCCAAATGTCCCTTAGCTTCTAAACAAAAATGGACAGTTTGAGAAGAAGAGATACAATTATTCGATCCTTGCGGTTTCCCAAATTGTACATTTTTGTTTACAAGCTGAGGGACAATTGCAGAGAATTTACTGTAATATTAGAATCAATTTAGTGCTGAAAATTGTAGTAAGGATGTTTGGTTAACGTATTCACACGAATATTGCGATTCTTGACGATTGAAATGAACGTTCTGTCGATCGTAACGTTGTTGACTGTTTCATTCGCAATCACAGTGCACACACATGAAAGAATGTTAATTGTTTTGGTTTCGTTATTACAACGATTTCAATTCGTCGGCTCCGATAAAATATTGCTGGCACAATACGTTTCATATTTATAACCCATCAGCAAATTAGCGTTTATTTTCAGCTGCATCAATGATATTCATGCAATCATCATTTACGATGAGGTCCTTCACACAAAAATCATTTTATTCGTCCACTGAAATGTGTAAATTTATAGAACGATTATATACAAAATTACCAATAATTCAACTCTAGATATTGAGCACGAATTTGGTAATTGATATGACTTCTTTTTCTTTAAGGAGTTTTCTTTCCGTAATCATTCAAATTCTCTTACTATTGACATTATTGGGTTGCTTGGAAAGTAATTTTAGTAATTTTGTTATTTCAGGAAGATATGAAAGACCGCATTCTAATGTACAGTGTGTCCTATTTAAATTGAGATTGTAAAAAATCTCATAGACGCGTGATTTAAAAAAAAATAAACTCACACATATCTTTTAGTATTTTGAGTGGAGAGTTAAATGGCACTAATAATTTTTTAATGTTTGAGCATTTTCAAAATTATTTCAAGATCTTCTTCATGTTTTTATCATAAACCTATATTTTTGGGACAGCTTATTTAACCAAAGCCAGATAGCCTGACGCTATTTTGGTTTGGTTCAATTATGGGTCATGGGTTCGCGTAGTCTCATTAGGCTGCAGTTTCTGTAGGTGGACATACTCCAGATGATGTTGGGCATCTCGAAATTAAGAGAATACTTTATGAGGCGCATTTATTGACACATGCTCAGAATGTTAGGAATCTTTAAGTACGGCAGGCGACTTCAGGCCTTACCGTATGGTTTTCTTGAGGGATCTGGCCACGGAGTGAGGAAGATAGGGACGCGTTTTGGTAAGAGGACATTGCTAAAAGCATTGTTAACATATATTTTTTATTTCAGAATCATATCCTACGTAAAAAAATGCACAATTTTCGCTCAAAACTTTTGTTCTATATTTTTTAACATTTCTAGCTGATTTTCCATGTTTATGTCAATGATAATTTTGTTTTTTTTTATTAAAATGACAACGTACAGGTATTTTATTTCATTTAAGAACATCATATTACAAAAAAATGTTTCAAACAAAAGTTGAGCATTGTTTTACGTAGAATATGATTCCGAAATGAAAGGTTTATGATAGAAAAAACGAGGTGACTTTGAAATAACCTCGAAAACATTACAAAATTAGTGGTGCCATTTGAATCCCCATTCGAAATACTAAAGGACACGTGTCAGTTTGTTTTTTTTTTTTTTAATCAAGTGTCTACGAGATTTTTTACAATGTCAACTCAAATGGGACAGCCCGTATAGAGGGTCAAATTAAAATTACAATTAATTTACTTTTTTATGTGAATTGATTTTAATTAAATTGGTTAAAAAACAGTATGTAACGAACGAAGCCATTTTCCTAACATTATTATTGTTAAACTAATATTACTGAAGCTATAAAACTGCTGATATATTGCTACTGTTTAAATTGCTGAAGTTAATTGTAACTGAATTGCTTTGTCAATTATAACTCTTTTACCATACTCTGTCATACTATCGAGGTCCTGTATAAAATTACTTAACGAGGAATAAAAGGAAACAACAATTTCTTAACGAAATTACCTCCGGGTGATTAGAACAAAGGCACGTTCCGAAGTGTCGTCACACCTTTAAGTTTCATGATCCATTAGTTTTCCAAGCAAGCACGTACTCTTTTTGAACTTAACGGTAAAAAGCAAGAATAAATATTGAAGTTGGCGCAACACTTTTTTCCTTCGAAGGTTAATTTAGATAAAAATGATATGCTGCAAACGAGATGTCAAGCGCTTATCGTCGAGAACTCCGCAGATAGTATAAAAATTCTACAGTTAAGGGAGAGCTGCTATGTGTGTGTGCGTGCGCGCGCGCGCGTGTGTGTGTGTGTGCAAGGAACATGGAGACGATGATGAGAATGTATTCGTACACATTTGTAGCTATACTTCGTTCAACGAGTACTGGCATGAAATATAAACAGCTGCACGCGAGCGACACGTGATCGGGCCCGGGCCGAATCACAATTTTGGGGCCCTTCTGCATGAGGCTGCTCTGCATACAAGGGCCCTCGGGTCCCCTAAAATTCCTCTCTGATCATCGTCGTCTAACAACAACTCAGCTCTAACAGCAGCACCGATCACATGAACACTCTGTTTACATTTACTACATTTTCTGTTTTACTTAGTATAGTTAGAAATCGTTATCATATCCAGTATAGCACCACAAAGGATAATTTTTGGTAAATTCTCGATGCCTTTCCGAATTATCGTTACTAGCGACTAATTTCTTGAGAAGAAATTCTTGAAGAACAATGAAATGGTATCTTTCCTTTAAGCATCGGATTGTGGTCATTCGTTCTACGGTAGCAGAGTCTACCGCGACCTACACCGACGTTCCACTAACAAACGCCCACGTGAAGTGCACAATATGGAACAGTATTAAGTCACTGACACACACAGCTTCGTTAATGTCGATAAAATAGAAAGCTCTCTAGAGACCCTGTTACCGGAACACGAGGGTTAATGTTCATTTAACTATCTGTTAGGCATTCAATTTATTTACTAAATTTACGGAGAAAACATGCCGAATCGTTATGAATGGGACATCTTTCTCATAATTGCCCTTCCAAAAGTTTATTGTAATTTTGCGTACACGCTTGTTTCATATTAAAAATCTCTTATCTCGAATATCATTTTTTATTCTTTTAGTTGAAGTATGACACCTAGAACCGAGACTGTGTCAGTGCAAATAAAATACAAGGAATAGTAAACGAAATAATAAGAAAAGTAAGTCAACCAAGGTCAATTATAAAATTTTTAACGCATCTTGACTATTTAGTTATGTACAGGATGACCCATTTAAATCGTTCCAGTCAAATATCTCTGAAATCGTTGATAATACTAAAAAATGTTGATGATACTAAACGATATTTGAATTGTTTTAGGGAGGAGGCACGTAATCTAACATTAATAAGATTTCTCGAGGTCAGTGCTCGGAATGCTTGACAACGCAACATTGAGCTCCGCCTCCTGACCTACCGCCACAGCGTCTCGCTCCCCGCGTTGCTTCCGTAGACGATCGAAGCAACGCGTAATCAGGAGGCGGAGCCCAATGTTGCGTTCCGAAGCATTCCAAGCACTGCTCTAGGTGATCGCGTCGAGGACATAAGGTCAACTTTATTTTTTTAAATGGAATCATATATTTCGATTCAGCTCATTATTCTCTTTATAAAAATACTAAGGCATTTATTGCGAAAAATTATTGGTTTAGAAGACGTTTGAATTTTAGAAATGCATATAGTGTTAGCACTCACGTATCTAAAGTTGGTGTTCAAAAATACGACCTTCAACCTGAATACAAATTAAAATATCTTTTAAACCGATGATTTTTCGCA